TATAATATAATATAATATAATATAATATAATATAATATAATAATGTAATGTAATGTAATGTAATGTAATATAATATAGTTTGAAATAATATAATATAATAATAAAATAAAATAAAATATAAAATAAAATAAATATAATAATATAATAAAATAATGATGATGATGATGATGATGATGATGATGATGGCAGGACTTGGAAGCATGTTTCCCATCAAAAAGGCAGAAATACATTTTTTTTTAAAAAAAATAGTGGCCTTCTAATGAACAACTCATAGTTGATTGCACACATAATAAACAGCAGCTAGAATTGGATTTGCACAAAATTGGAAAACAGATAAAATCCCATCAGGAGGAGAGATAATAAAGGAGATATTAGGATTGTGCAGAAATGAACAGGTTGACATTTAGAACTAAAAGCAAAGAGGAACCAGTGTATTTCAGGACATGGGGGCGATTTTACGATTGCTTAGAAAAGAGATACAAAGAGAAAGAGAAAGGAAAAGAGCATAGAATAGGTAACCCAGACGACACATGATCCAATTAGGGGGGAGTGGGGGGGTGGGCGGAGGGGAAAAATAGAAAAGCATTAAAATACAAGTATACAAGCCAAAAAATGGCACAAGTGGATTTATTATTGGGAAGTAAAATGTTAAAGAGAAAATTATTTTTGTGTAAATATAAAGTTGGGGAAGTTGAAATGCCACCCTGAGAACCCACCGGAGAAAGGAAATAAGCAAGGTCAACAACGGAACAGAGGGGGGAGGAGGAGGAGGAGGAGGGAGAGCCCAGCCCCCCCGTACCTGTGGGGCTGGCGGCTGAGGGGTTGTGCTGCACCGCGTTCAGTTCCAGGAGGAGCCGGTCCAGTTCGGAGAGGTTGTTGCCTAAGGAGGAGCTCATCAGGGTAGGAGATGGTTCCGCAGACTTCGGTTTGTTAGGGAAACTGAGATTCAGGGGATAAAACAGTCTGTTAGTTGGAAGTGACTCTTAACCACCAGGGCTCTGATCAAACAAATGCCTTCCCTCCTTGGGTTCCTTCCCTCTTTTCTTTTCCTCCTTTCCTTCCTCCCTTCCTGTCACTCCTTTCCTCCCTTTTCCTTCCTCCTTTCCTCCCTCCCTTGCTTCCTTTCCTCCTTCCTTCATTTCCCCCCTCCACTCTTCCCTCCCTCCCTCCTTTGCTGCCTTTCCTCCTTCCTTCCCTCCTTCCATTTCCTCCCTCTTCCCTTTCTCCCTCCCTTGCTTCCTTTTCTTCCTTTCCTCCTTCCTTCATTTCCTCCCTCTTCCCTTTCTCCCTCCCTTGCTTTCTTTTCTTCCTTTCCTCCTTCCTTCATTTCCTCCCTCTTCCCTTTCTCCCTCCCTTGCTTTCTTTTCTTCCTTTCCTCCTTCCTTCATTTCCTCCCT